TTGGTGACCCGTGCGCTAACACCGCCGGCCCTGTGAAAATGAGGAAAGGGTAAACCCCCTCCGTACCAACCAACCAGACAACCAGGCCACAAAAGAGAGAAAAATAATAAAGAAAGGAAATCGGTAGATGATGATGATGATGATGATGGACGGGGGGGATGCGACTCGCTCGTCGAACGCCGACCAAAAGTCCGAAACGAGAGCGATCTCTGCGGGGCGGAGGACTACCGCAGCGTACTGCCAACAAGTGCCGAAAAGAAGAGAAAAGAAAAGAAAAAAAAAAAAAAAAAATGGGGCTTTTTATTCAGAGGCGCCCCGGTCGAGGAGAGATCGAGAGAAGCCCTCGGGAGTCGAGATGCCTACCCAGCGCGCCCGCGTTGCGGGGGGGCAGTCCGTACCTTACTCCGCAGCAGGTCTCCAAGGTGTTCAGCCTCTGGTCGATAGATCAATGTAGGTAAGGGAAGTCGGCAAGTTAGATCCGTAACTTCGGGACAAGGATTGGCTCTGAGGGTCGAGCCATGCCGGGCCCACAGCCGGAAGCGGTCCCTCGTTCCCCTGGCGGGTAGGCCGCCGGCGGTGCGCGGAGGCGGCGGCGAGGAGGGGGCCCAAGGGTGCCCTTGGCGGTCGGCGCCGCGGCGTTTCTGTCCGCTCCGAGGGAGAAGGACTGGGCGAGGGGCGGCCTCTCACGAGGTCGCTCCGAGCTCGGACCCGACCCCGCAGGGGCGGCTGCCGTGCCTGCGGCTGCTCCTCTGCCTCTGGTGCCCTCCCCTCCGCTCGAGCCGCGCAGCCCGAGCGCCCGCCGGCATCACGCGCCCCCCGCCGTCGCGGGTCGGGACCAACGCGGAAGGCGCCTCTCGGCAAAGGCCGGGGTTTCCCTCCCGTTTCCCCGGCCGCGGCTGGCAACAGACGGCCGTCTCAGAACTGGCACGGACCAGGGGAATCCGACTGTTTTAAAATTAAACAAAGCAATGCAGTCGTGATCGATGTTTTCTGACGCATTGAGATTTCTGCCCACTGCACTGAATGTCAAAGTGAAGTGATTCAACCCAGCGCGGTACACGCGGGAGAAACTAAGACTCTCTAAGGAGCCAAATCCTCGTCCCATCTAATTAGTGACGCGCATGAATGGATTAACGAGAATTCCCACTGTCCCTACCTACTATCTAGCGAACCCACAGGCAGGGGAAACGGGCCTGCAGTTAACGGCGTGGAAAGAAGACCCTGTTGAGCTTGAACTCTATTTTGCTTTGTAAGAGAGCACCAGAGGTTATCATAAGTGGGAAGGCGGCTCGCGCCCGACGATGAAATACACACTCTGTCGTCTCTCTACTTACTCGTGATGCGGACGGAGGCGTGACGGGTTCGGGCAGCGAGCGGGCCGGCGGCCCCCCGGGCTTAGCCGCGCCCACCTACCTGCTCGTCTTCCCTATGCCTTCTACCGATTTTAGACTGCAAGTGACATAACAAGAGCGGGCCGCCTCCCCGGTGGGCGAAAGGGGGCCTCTTCTCCGCGCGGGGGCGGTCGTCGCCGCCCGCTCGCGGTCGCGCGTCGCGATCCCCCGTTCCGAGGAAAGAGCCAGATGGGAGTTTGACTGGGGCGTACATCTGTCAACGATAACGCAGATGTCCCTATGGTCAAGCACAACTGGACAGAAAACCACGTGGAGAGCCCAAGGGCAACTGCTGCTTGATCCGGACTCTCCAGAACGAGCACGGACTGCGACTCAAGCACGCCTAGCGATCCTTTTTGACTATTACGAGTTTTAAGCGAGAGTTCCAGAAAAGTTACCACATGGATAACTGCTTGTGCGTCAAACCCCGCCAGCGTTCATAGCGACGTCGCTTTTTGATCCTTCGATTCGCTCTTCTATCATTGGTGAAGCAGTTTCACACCAAGCGTAGATTGTCACCCTCTAATAAGGGAACGAGCTGGTTTAGACCGTCGCGAGACAGGTTAGTTTCTTACCCTACCGTTAACAACGTCGCCCCTTCGCGACTGAGCCCCGCCCATACGAGAGAACGTGTCCGGACCAAATGTGCAAGCTCCCTGCCCGACAGCCACCAGGGGAGGGCAGCCACGTCCGGCAGGGTTTACCCCTGAAAAGCCTCGCAAGGGGAAAACCGCTGAAGCGTTAAGCGACTGATCGGTCGGCGCAACGGATCGTCGATTTACTAAACTGAGTTTAGAGACGCGAGCCCCCGGCGATAGCCAAGGGATGCGGACTGTGCCCATGCAAGGGGAAGTCACCGGCTGTCTGACGTCGATGGGAGGTCAGTCGACGCCCCCAAACCGCTCCAATCCCGGGGCGTTGGGCCGCCGCCCCGGAGGCTTGAAGTGGGGCCTCCCTTTGACACCAGCTTCCTCTATACAGAGCAAACCCCGTCCGTGTGCCTGTACCGAACCGTCCTGCAATACGACTGACTATCGCTTGGGTGTTGTAAACCGTTAGAGCGCTCCTCTATTCCTGCGATTGAAAGCGGACTCGTTCCCCCCCTACGGTCGTATGGTTGTTGGCCTGACCAACAGCAACCCTCCACCTCCTCCGTGAGCTCCCGTATGGGATGCTCGCTCGTCCTCGTCCTCCACCTGCCGAGAAAACGGACGGAGCATTCTTCAAATCACCCCTCCCCTGAAACTGAGGAGGAAGGGCGGACAGACGCAGCAGCAAGTAAACAGCAGCAACACCAGAAGTGTAATGTGCATGTGTGCGTGAAAAGTGTGCGAGTGTTTTTTTTTTTGGGTGTTGAGTGTGAGGAGCCTCAATTTCGCCCTCTTTTTCTGTTCCTGCCCCACCCCTCCCCCCCCCGGGAGTTTATGCAGATCTGTCACCAAGTCCTCTGCCTGGGCTTTACTTCCCCCCCCCCCCCCCCTCTCCGCCTTCTCTCCGCGGTCGGAGATAGATAGTCAATTGCGTAAAGTTTATATATTCTTCCCCCCCCCCCCCCCTGTCTTTATTTATTTATTTTTTTTTTTTTTTCATTATTATATCCTACCCCTTCTTCCTCTCCCTATTCTTCTCAATGTTCCTTTACTTCCACGCCATCAATCTGATTATTACTACAACTACAACTACAACTACAACTACAACTACAACTCAACTACAACTACTACTACTAAAACTACTACTACTACTACAACACTACTACTACGACTTCTTTCTTCTTCTTCTTTCTTCTACTTCACTAATACCTTCTTCTTCTTCTTCTTCTTCTTCTTCTTCATCTTCTTCTTCTTCTTCTTCTTCTTCTATCTACTCTTCTTCTTCTTCTTCTTATATTAATTATAATTATTATTATTAATAATTAATTAAATATTATCATTATGATTGATATAATGATAATGATTGATGAGGATTATCATTCTTATTCTTTATTATCATGAGTATTCCTTCATATATTCTTATTCTGAATACTTCTCAATATTACTTTCCTTTTTAACTTTTCCTTCAATCGGTTTGTGTTTCTTGCCATGTGAGAAGTGAGTGCGTGAAGAAAGGCAGGAGGAAATGAATTGATGATGATGAGATGACGAACGATGACGATGACGAAGAATAAGAAGACAAGGACGAAGCTCAAAGTAAAAGGGAAAAGTTGGTGAAGGACGGGCCCGTGTCCATGAGCTCCGTACAGTTTCCAGGGCATTTTGCGGCCACCGGGGGGGGGGGGGGGGGGGGGGGGAAACCCTCGTATGAGCACCGTAACGTTACCAGGCATTTTGCGGGCCTGCGGGCGGGGATTTACGAGAATTTCCCCTGCCAACGGGTCTGCCCCCGAAGCCTGTACACCGGATGCCGCGTCCGCTAGCCCATTGGGAGAATATCAACGATGGCTCGGCCGCCGGGTTGCCTTCGTAGGAACCGCACGCTCGTCTCCGAAGCGCACCTGGGCCGAGGTGAAGGGCGCGTTGGGGGGGGGGGGAAGGGGTTGTTGGGTGGGTGGGGGGTGGTGGGGGGGGGGGGGGGGGGGGGTGGGCGGGGGTAGGGTAGGGGTGGGGGTGGGGGGAGGTGGGGGGTGGGGGTAGGGGTGGGGGGGGGGGGGGTTGGGAGTGGTAGGGGTTGAAGAGGGGTGTGGGAGACCCCTCCCCCATCCGTTCCACTTCCTCTGAGCCTTCTCCACCCGGTGGACCGGAGCAGAGCGGAGGATCCTTTCCCGACGTGGTGGGTGAAACGGGGCCGCGCCGCCTAACCCCCTATAACTGGGTGCGCGGCTGGTCGGGCCACCGGCTTGATAGAGACGAGACGCGCGGGGCGAGGCGGGCCGGCCCCAGGGCGGTCGCGTTCGTGCGTGCCTGGTCCGCCGCCTTCCCCGGCCGTGACGGTCCGGTTTGGCGCAAGGGGTTCGAGCTGGCTGTGGCCCGCAGTTGGTCTGTGCGGAAGCCGGCAGGGGCGTGCAGCCGCGCGCCTTTTCCCCCGGGCGTGGCGGTGGGTTGGCCGGCAGGGGATCGAGCTGGCCTGTGGCCGCAGTTTGGTCTGTGATGCAGCAGGAGGGCACCGCCGGGCACCCGGCCGCCGCCGCCTTCCCCGGGGGTGCGGTGGGGTTGGACGGCAAGGAACGAGCTGGCTTGTGGCCGCCAGTGGTCTGTGGAGGCAGCAGGTGCAACCGCCCGACCGGCCGCCGCCCGCCTTCCCCTGGCGTGGCGTTGTTTACGGTAAGGGGGCGAGCAGGCTGTGGCCGCAGTTTTGTGTGCGGAGGGAGGCAGGCAGGCAAGCAGGCCGGCAGCAGGCCGTCCGTTTTTACCGGGCCACACGAGGGATGAATGGCCCATCGCGTCCGAGGGACCTGTAACGGACGGACACGTGACGGCAGGCAGCCGTTGTGTCGACGGTCGCTTGCCGCCTTTGCCGCGTTTGGCCTTTTTAGGCGAGCGGGCAAGGCCCCTTTATCGACCACCCGGCCGCGCACAGACTGGCCCTCGCTCTTGGCCTCTTGTCCGGCCGTGGCAGCAACGTTCCCAGCCTCCGAGCAGCTTTCCGCCCCCTGCGTGTTTGCGGGCCGCAGCCCGGGCTAGCCGCTCCCCCGGCCCTCCCGGGCTTCCGGGAGCGCGGGCAAGGCTGGGACCCTTTGTGGTCCGTGGCTGTGCCGTGGCCGTGGGCGGAGAAGCTGCGAGCGAGGAGAGTCCCCGGAGCCCTGGGTCTTTCGGGCGGGGGCCCCGCTGCCGCTGGTCTGGGTGCTGGTGGTGCCGGCTCCCTCCCCTTCCCGGCAAGGCTGGTTCCGGGCAGCATTGTGGTGGCGGGGCGGCGGCGGGGCCGGGCTGTGCTGGTGGTGTGCGGGGCGCGGCGGAAAGGGGGCGATGGCGGTCGGAGGAGACGCCTAGGTGGCGGAAGCGAGGCCTGGGTCCCTGGGCCGTGTCCGTGGTCGGGAGAAGCGCAGCGAGGGGCGGGTCCCGAGCCTCGGGTTGCTGTCGGGCGGGCCCCGCTGCTGTGGCTGGTGTGTGCGCGCGGCGTAAGGGGCGTTGGGCGGTCGGAGGAGGACGCCTTTTTGGGCGGAGCGAGGCCTGGGTCCCTGGGGCCGTGTCCGTGGGCGGGAGAACGGCCGAGCGAGGGGCGTTCCCGGAGCCTCGGGTCTGTCGGGTCGGGGGGGGGGCAGGCCCCGCTGGCTGTGGCTGGTTGTGTGGTGTGGTTGGCGGGCGCGCGCGGAAAGGGGCGTTGGGCGGTCGGTTATGACGCCTTGGTGCGGAGCGAGGCCCTGGGTCCCTTGGGGCCGTGTCCGTGGGCGGGAGAAGCGGCGAGCGAAGGGCGTTCCCCCCCGGCGCCTCGGTCCTGTCGGCGGGGCCCCGCTGCTGTGGCTGGTGGTGCGGGCGCGGCGGAAAGGGGCGTTGGCGGACGGAGAGACGCCATGTGCGGAGCGAGGCCTGGGTCCCTTGGGCCGTGTCCGTGGCGGTGAAGCGCGAGCGGGGCGTTCCCCGGAGCCTCGGTCAGTCGGGCGGGCCCGCTGCTGTGGCTGGAGTGGTGCGGGCGACGGCGAAAGGGGCGATGGTCTGTCGGAGAGACGCCTTGGAGCGGAGCAGGCCTGGTCCCTTGGGCCGTGTCCGTGGGCCGGAGAAGCTGCGAGCGAGGGCTTCCCGGAGCCTCGGGACAGTCGGGTGGGCGGGCCCCCGCTGCTGGTGGCTGGTGTGAGCCGGTGTGTGAGGGCGCGCGAAAGGGGGCGTTTGGCGGTCTAGGAGGACGCCTTGTGCGGAAGGCGGCCTGGGTCCCTTGGGGCCGTGTCCGTGGTGGCGGGAGAAGCGGCGAGCGAGGGGCGTTCCTCGGAGCCTCGGGTCTGTCGGGCGGGCCCCGCTGCTGTGGCTGGTGTGTGCGGGCGCGGCGGAAAGGGGCGTTGGCGGTCGGAGGAGGACGCCTTGGTGGCGGAGCGAGGCCTGGGTCCCTTGGGCCGTGTCCGTGGGCGGGAGAAGCGGCGAGCGAGGGGCGTTCCCGGAGCCTCGGGTCTGTCGGGCGGGCCCCGCTGCTGTGGCTGGTGTGTGCGGGCGCGGCGGAAAGGGGCGTTGGCGGTCGGAGTAGGCGCCATGGTGGCGAGCGAGGCTTGGTGTCCCCCCTTGGGCCCGTGTCCCGTGGGCGGAGAAGCGGCGACGAGGGGCGTTCCCTGGAGCCTCGGGTCTGTCGGCGGGGCCCCGCAGCTGTGGCTGTGAGTCGGGCGCGGCGAAAGGGGCGTTGGCGGTCGGAGGAGGAACGCCTTTGGAGGCGAGGGGCCTAGGTCCCTTGGGGCCGTGTCCGGGCGGAGAAGCGGCGACGCGAGTGGCTTCCCTGACCTCGGTCAGTCTGGCGGGCCCCGCAGCTGTGGCTGGTGTGTGGCGGGCGCGGCGGGGAAAGGGGCGATTTGGCGGGTCGGAGAGGACGCCTTGTGGCGGAGCGAGGGGCCTGGTCCCTTGGGTCCGTGGTCCGTGGCGGGGAAGCGGCGAGCGAGGGGCGTTCCGCCCTCGGTCTGTCGGTGGCGGGGGGGGGGCGGGGGCCCCGCTGCTGGGGCTGGTGTGGCGGGCTCGGCGGAAAGGGGCGTTTGGCGGCGGATGAGGACGCCTTGGTGGCGGAGCGAGGCCTGGGTCCCTTGGGCCGTGTCCGAATTTGCGGGAGAAGCGCGAGCGAGGGGCGTTTCCCGGAGCCTCGCGTCTTCGGGGGCTGCGAGGGGGCGTTCCCCCTTGACGCCGGGCGAGAGGGCGGCCTGTTTGGTGGTGGGGTCGAACGGCCGCGGCGACAAGTGTATGGGGCCGAAGGGGGGTTCGCTGGCGTTGGTGCTGGCGGGCGGCGGCGCCGAGGGGCCGTCGGAGCGAGGCTCTGGTTGGGGGCGTGGCTCCCTCGCGGGGCCAGCGGGGACGGTATCCCGAGCGTGGTCGGCTCCCCCCCCAGCCGTCCCCGGCGGGGTTGGTTTGATGTACCAGGCCAGGCAATAGGCCCTGGTCGGGCCCTCCATCCTCCCTCCGCCGCCTCTGAGAGGGCTCTGAGGCCGAGCAAGCGAGGCTCGGGAGGCACCAAGCGAAGCCGCTGTCGGCGAGGGCGTGGGACCCCTGGAGGGGGTTTACCTCCCTGAACGGAGGCGGGCGGGGGGGTGTGTCGGCCCCGTTCGCGGTGGTGTTGGCGAACTGGGCGTTTTGCAAGCTGTTAATGAGGCCAACCGCGTTATCGCGTATCGCGTGTGATCTCGGTTCCCAGGCCCTTCGCTGTTCTTCTTACCGTCCCTCATTGTTTCCCCTCTATTTACTTTCTCGCCCTAAATTTCAACTTCTTTTCCCCCCTTATTCCTATATTTCCTTATAATACCCCTTCATACTTCCCTTCATTTTTTATTCTCTTTATCCGTTCTTTACTTCTTTATCTTACCTACCACCCCCCTTCCTATCATGTTCTTTCCTTCCCCGTTCCCTTATCCCTATCCTCTACTCTTCCCTCTCTCCTCCAACTTACTCTACCCATCCCCTTCTCTCCCACCTAATCACACTCCTCACACTTCCTTTTTCCCCTATTAGAAATTTCACAATCTCTACCCCATTTTTCCTCTTACCTTTGCTCTCATTCCCTTTTCTTTTATCTACTCTTTTTCCAACCCCAATGGCCTTCCCTCCCCCGCCGCCCTGTTGCGGATGCCCTTTGTTGGTGGTGGTGTGATTGTGCAGGGCGCGAGAAGAGGTTTAGTTGGTAGTATAGGCTGAGCGGCAGGGCGGGGCAGCCTCCTGGCTGCCATGGCCCAGCCGCAGCGCACAGCAAAGGTCGGCGGCTCGCGCCACGCATCCGCCCGGGGGCCGCCTCGGGTAACCCTTTCCCCGTGCCCGCCCCCTCTCGAGTCGGTTTTGTGGCCCCCGTGCCTCTGCCCTTCACAACACAGGCTACCGCTGCATTCAAGACGTGGTTTCGGAAAGGTTTCTCCCGAGGGTGCCCGGGCCCCGGGGCCCCCGCCGGCGGACGGCCGCGCGTGGCCGCCCCCGCGGCCCAGTGCCCCGGCCGCGGGCCCGCCCCCCGCCGTGCCCCGGGCGGTGCCCGCAGTGCCGGCCCGCCCCGGCCCAGGCCGCGGCGCCCCGCCCCGCGCCGGGCCCCGGCCCCCGCGGCCGCCCCGCCCGCCGCCCGCCGAGCCGTGCCGCCGCGGGCCGTGCCGCCCCGCCCGGGCCCGTGCCCCCCGGGCCGCCTGCCGCGCCGCCCCCGCCCGCCGCCGCCGGGTGCCCCCGCGCGCCCCGCCGGGGGGCCCCGCTGGCCCCGCCCCCCCCTGCCCCGCGGCCCGGCCCGTGCCCCGGCCCCCCGGGGCGAGTGGCCACCGCCCCCCCGCCGGGGCCCCCCGCCCCGCCCGCGGCGCCACGGGCCCGGCGGCCCCGGCCCCGCGCGGCCGGCCACCCCCCCGGCGGCCGGCCGCCGCCCAGCCCCCCCTGCCCCCCGCCGGCCGGCCCCCCCGCTCCCGCCCCGGCCCGAGTGCCCGGCGCGCCCCGCCCGGCCCGCGGTGGCCCGCGCCCGCCGGCCCCCCGCCGGGCCCGCCGCAGGCTGCCGGGAGTTTGCCCCCCCCGGTGCCCTCCGCCGCCGCGGGCGGCCGCCCCGCGCCGCCCCGCGGCCGTGCCGCCCCTGCCCGCGCCCGGCCCCGGCGGCGGCCCGTGCCCCCCGCCCCCGCGCCGTGCCGCCCCCCCGCCCCGCCCCGCCGGCCGCCCGCCCCGGCCGGCCGCCGCCTGCCCCCGGGAGTGCCGCCGGCCCCCGGCCGTGCCGGCCGCCCCTCGCCCCGCCCCCCGCCGCCGAGTGCCGCGGCGCCGCGCGGCCCCGCCCCGCGGCCGCCCCCCTGCCGCCCTGCCGTGGTGCCGCCCCGCCCCCCCTGCCGTGCCCCGTGCCCGCGTGGGTGCCCCCGCCCGAGCCCCCGTGCCGCCCCCCCGCCCGTGCCCCCGAGTGGCCCGCGCCGGCCCCCCCGTGCCCGGGGCCCCCCCCCCTGCCCCCGCCCCCCGGCCGCTGCCCAGCCCTGCCGAAGTTGCCCGCCCCGCGCCCCACGCCCGGGCCCCCGCCCCGCGGTGCCCGCCCCGCCGCGCCGATGAGCGATCTCTGCGGGGCGGAGGACTACCGCAGCGTACTGCCAACAAGTGCCGAAAAGAAGAGAAAAGAAAAGAGAGAGAAAAAAAAAATGGGGCTTTTTATTCAGAGGCGGCCCGGTCGAGGAGAGATCTTCGAGAGAGAGATCTTCGAGATCGAGAGAAGCCCTCGGGAGTCGAGATGCCTACCCAGCGCGCCCGCGTTGCGGGGGGGCAGTCCGTACCTTACTCCGCAGCAGGTCTCCAAGGTGTTCAGCCTCTGGTCGATAGATCAATGTAGGTAAGGGAAGTCGGCAAGTTAGATCCGTAACTTCGGGACAAGGATTGGCTCTGAGGGTCGAGCCATGCCGGGCCCACAGCCGGAAGCGGTCCCTCGTTCCCCTGGCGGGTAGGCCGCCGGCGGTGCGCGGAGGCGGCGGCGAGGAGGGGGCCCAAGGGTGCCCTTGGCGGTCGGCGCCGCGGCGTTTCTGTCCGCTCCGAGGGAGAAGGACTGGGCGAGGGGCGGCCTCTCACGAGGTC